GCTTACCACATTCTCACCCCTGGCTGCATTCTCACCTCTCGTCCCCCATCTGTCGATCAGTGTGGGAATGATGCCTGTGGTCAGATAGTGACGAGGCAGCACAGCTGTTCTCTGTGGCTGTCGGTGCTGCAAAATGGACAAAACTGCTCCCGGGAAGTGGTGTTACAAAAGGGTTTATGGAGATGTTTATTGCGTAGTTCGTTGTGTGAGGAGTGTGTCGAAAGAAGTCGCTTTCGTCTCTTTTTTATGTTTATTGTCGTAGTTCTTCGTGACATCTTGGCGCCGGGCTCTTCTCTTACTTATGGTATTGTGTTATAGGTTCTGAGATTCATCCCATGCCTTGTCGACAGTCTGTGACACAAGTGACAGTTTGTCCGCAAGCTTCCATTCAATTGCTGGTGAATCATTATTCTGAGGATTTTGTTTGTCATTCTGAAAGCGATGCTGCTCGTCATTCCTAGATCATTTCTCTCCTTCTTTCGACCATCGGTCTTTGTATCAGAATCTCTAACATATCACAAACTTGTCATCGTCCAATCCGCATCGTCATTCGTAGACCATTCGTGAAACTCTTACTATCATGATGCTTGTCATCGCGTAGCTCAGCCAGTGTTGCAGCGAGAAGTTCATGCCCGTCCCAAAGACTTCGCGCCAATCCACCACAAAGTTCAGGCCGGTGGTATTTGCCGGCATTCAGGCATGACCAAGAGTCACGGGAGTGTATTCACATGAAAACGCACGTGCCTAGCCAATAGCCATGCTGGAATCCGTGCTGAAAGCCGTTCAGGGTTGGTTCAGGGATCCGTTCCCCGCGGGGAATGGAAGTGCAGTGAACCTGAACCGTGGCGATAAAAAGGAAGGTCCGTGGTTCAAATCTTGGTGGTGTTAGATAAATTTCGTAGTATGGAGTTTTGAGGTCGACGGGTCGTCTCAATTATAAATGGATTGAACGGATAAAATTGTATTTATGTCTTTAGGGAAAGCTGCATAATTGGAAGCTCTTCGAACTTTCTCCCCAGCTTATAAAACGTACGCATATGTTTCTGCAACTGTCGCTCAAACTATCGAACGGCCCACACGACCCAACTGTAGCGAATTTCACGGTCGATCACCTCGAAACCACCGGACACACCCTGGTGACCATTTCTCTGAGCCGTTTGGCGGAGTGGGTGATATATGGCTGAGTTCTGTGTGAAATAGAGCAACCGGCTGACCGGAGACCGAACGAGGTCGGGTCGGGGACGGAGCGGTGGTAGCTCGGAAAGGGTAGAGATGGAGACGGATGGGAGGGGTGGGAGCTGCAGGACGGAGGGAGAGGGAGAGAGAGAGAGAGAGAGAGAGAGAGAGAGAGAGAGAGAGAGAGAGAGAGAGAGAGAGAGAGAGAGAGAGAGAGAGACCGGCTGCCGCAGAAAGCTACAGCTGCTCTAGTAGCCAGTTGCGGAGAGGCGAGGGCGAGGCAGGCATTTGACGTCAGCGGAAGCAAAATATGATGCTGTCGTTACTTTGCTGTCATACAATCCGGAAATCGTTAAATCGTGAACTTTTCTAAGCATTTGCATCAAAAGTTCCCAACTAACGTACTTACGTGAACTGTTTAGATGTCCTTATACATAACGTAACGCATTGAATATTACTGGTATTGCGATGTGCGGTCTTGGAATGAGGATTGGCTTTCGATTCCTTCAGGCTAAAGGCCGCCTCACACTGGAACTCGCATGCGGGTTGCGAGTTTTTAGGTTTTCGGGTTTCTTCAAAATCAAACAATACAATCTAGGCTGAGTGACCCACACTACCATCTAACAAGCGAGTCTGCATGTTTTTAGCTTGCGGGTGACCTTGCATCGCATTCCAATAGTTGATTTTGAGTCAACTTTCGATTTTCCTCGCTGCGAGGTTTGCGAGTTCTGCGAGGTTTGCGGGTTTTTCGTCGGAGTCGAATTTTGGTTCCGTGCGGCTTGCGCTGGTATTGCGACTGCATGTAAGTTTCTGAAGGTGTACCGGTTTCACTGCATACATGAAGTTACCATAAGGGAGCGGTCTAATCACTCCATGAATTAGTATTATGCCCGCAAACTCAAAACCCGCAAACTCGCAACCCGCATGCGAGTTCCAGTGTGGGGCGGCCTTAAGTCGGGTTTCAGGAGCTTTCACATATGCCTGCCTCACTCTGGTATTGACACCTATGTAACACATTGCACATTCCTCCTATTCCGCATAGCTACATAGGCTTGCTTGTTCTGCGATTTTTTTTTGCCCATGGGAATGACACTACAATTGTTATTGATATCTGCTCCAAGGGAGATTGCAATTGATCAGCTTGCATTTTGCCATGCGAGCAGCTGCACTCTATGAGCCAAGGCCGGCTCAGAGTACCACCGGGTCAAATTCGCAGCACACAGACTAGCCTTTATCAAGTAGGCTTGGCGATATCTTTCCTCGTTAAAGCCCACCTTAGCAAATCTCTGCACCATTTTCGCCACTGAATTGTCCTCGTCACCAGGCTTTCGTCATTAACCAGACATTTGTTGCGTGATTTGCGCTGGGTAATCATTAGATGCACGAGAAAATGTCTTTTATAGTCCGCGTGTGATTTATGAACCTTCACTCGGTGGCAGGGAAATATTCATTCGGCCATACTTCCACGATTCATGCCATGCATCATGAATCCTTTGTGAGGTAGATTGTTGCAGACAGTGGCTAATACAAGGGAAAAGTCTGGATAGCGCTCCGCTTATTTAGCTTAACCCGCGCGGGGCTGGGGTCTCCAGCCGAGCGCGCGGGGCGGGGGGGGGGGGGGTAAATTTACCCCCCTGTTATCTCCCGAACTAAAGGTCCGATTTGGAAAATTCAAACGCCAAACGAAAGATCTCATCACGAACAACTAAAACATATACTTAATTTAAAGTTTGAAGTCAAGGTCAAGGTCAGGTCAAGGGTACAAATTGCAAGTTTTTACAGTATCGGCCTTGCCCCGTAGTTGCCGAAGAATGGAGTCATGGACTGAGACTGATAGCCCAAAACGTGTTCTTAGGCTACCAACACAATATTCGTTGCATACAATATCATTCAGAGGTCAAGGTCAAGGTCAGGTCAGGTCAGGTCAGGTCACCAAAAACAAAATATAGAAAAGGGCATGTGCGACACATGTTTTATGGGTCATTTTATTCATAGAATTCAATAGGCACACTCAATAGGTGATATGGACCACGTCTGGATGAATTGCAGGTCGAGGTCAGGTCAAGGTCAGGTCAAGTGAGGTCAAATTTTGAAGTTGGTTGTTAACCCTATTAGTGGCAGGGGGGTGTTTTTATCCACCCCTCAGGTTTTTCGGGAATATCTCCGAAACCGCTGAAGCTACGATGCTGAAATTTTCTGACTTTTCCTAAAACTAAATTGGGCACATTCCCTGAAAATTTCAAGTTCATAACTTTACCAGGGGCGGCTCCAGAGCACTGGGAATTGGGGGGTCCTATTCGTGAAGCGAGTCATTTGGGCGAAGATCACGATGCTGCACCAGTTTTACGAACAGTGAATGAAAGGTATCATGTGATAACATATACAAAGTTATTGTGCATCCTCTTTTGACACGTTTTTGCTATAATCGGAGCGGAATTGCTAAAGCGGATCCAGGCGTCCAAAAAGGGGGGTTATTTTTTACCTCCCAACATAGGTGCCCTGACACCGCCTATGCATGACCAATACAATTTTAGTCGTTCTCTCATAAGAAAATTGTAACATAACAAGACCATTGCCACCCTTTTTAGAAACAGTACCAACAAAAACCTTATTTACTATACTTTTTGTGTACCCCCAATCTCAATGATCTGCATCCGCCTATGATTTTTGAAAATGTATATTTTTAGGATCCATGTGAATTCCTGGTTCATTCTCTATCGATCGGCAAAAGTTGCGTTAAGATTGGTTCAGAAACCTGGCCGTGATAAACAGTATAAAATGTATCTGCAATTTGCCCGTTTTTACCCCCCCCTACCCCTCTATTGACATTTTTTTAATTTTATTTTTTTTTAGAAATGTAGATCTCGTTGAGCCAAATCGAATGCCGTTTGAATTTTGAAAATCGGCCGGTTGGATCTCGAGATATCAAGGGGGGTCGTAAACAGCCCCCCCCCTGCCACTAATATGGGGTAGCCAGGAGCCTGCCACTAATAGGGTTAAGGCCTAAAAAGGGATCTATCTGATGCAGTTTTTCACGGCGAATCGAATGGTGCTATTTGTGTTTCCGTGCGAGGTCTAGAACTTCCAAAAAATATTTTTTTTCAAAAAAAAATTGTATGTCGTGACGTCATAAATTTTGAATAACTCCCACATTTTTGAACCGATTCTTCTAAAAATTGGTATGGAGGTGCACATGGACCACTTCTCTGATATATATTCCGGTTTTTATACACGCAAAATTTTGGATTTTATCATTATTTTCCCAAAAAAGTCAGTTTTTTGAAAAAATTGGGCCAAAATCAAAAATTTTCTAAAAGCCGAAGTAACCATTTGATAGACAAAGTAGAATCACGTATAACCTTTTTGTTACGTCTTGATTCCCTTAAAAATGAAGATGTTAGCGGCGTTTCAAATTTTGCCGTTTTGGAGGCGAAAATGGCGAACATGACGTCACTAAAACGTCATTTTCTCAAAAAACAATTCCGAAGGATTCTGCTCAAATTTTCAGGGAACGTGTCAAATTGATGTAAAAAAGGGTTCTGAAAGTTTGGCGGCGCTGCGCGCCGCCATTTTTGAGATATTGCAAAAATTCGCGAGGGGGGTAAAATTTACCCCTCCAGCCCCGCGCGGGTTAAGACATTATGCAAAGCGCTAGCAAGTGCGAGAATAGAGAGCAAGTTTGACGGTTTCCTTCTTTGTCTCGGAACTTGACCCACCTGTAGATAAAGATCGTGCGCCTCACATGGTTCACTGTTGTTCTAATCAGTCGTTCACCAACAATGAGTCTTGCCGTTAATCGTTAACCGACTTCCCTTTGTTCCCAGCTCGCCCGAAGCGCCAGTATGGAGCACCGCGACCGTCAGGAGGGGGACAGCAACAGAAACAGCCGTCACCGTCCTACGGCTCCCCCGCCCCCGCTCCCGCTCCCGCGCAGCCGCCCTCCTACCAGGGTTTCCAGATCCCCTCAGCCGCTCCGATAACCCCGACCAATAACCAGCAGAGTTACGGTCAGCGTAGCGAGCCGAAAAACAGGCAACAGTACGGAACACCCAAACCACAGCCTAAACCCCAGTATGGCACTCCTAAGCCTGCGCCCAAACCTCAGCCCCAGTATGGAGCTCCTGTTCCTCAGCCGAAACCTCAGCCCCAATATGGAGGTCCTGCCCCTTCTCCTGAACCAAAGCCTCAGCCCCAGTATGGGGCTCCTGCTCCTCAGCCGAAACCTCAGCCTAAACCCCAGTATGGAGGTCCTGCCCCTGCTCCTGAACCAAAGCCTCAGCCCCAGTATGGAGCTCCTGCTCCTCAGCCGAAACCTCAGCCTAAACCCCAGTATGGAGCCCCTCCTCCTCAACCTGAACCTAAGCCCCAATATGGAGGTCCTGCTCCTGCTCCTGAACCAAAACCTCAACCCCAGTATGGAGCTCCTGCTCCTCAGCCGAAACCTCAGCCTGAACCCCAGTATGGAGCCCCTGCTCCTGCTCCCGAACCTAAGCCCCAATATGGAGGTCCTCCCCCTGCTCCTCAACATAAACCTCAGCCCCAATATGGAGGTTCTGCCTCTGCTCCTGAATCAAAACCCCAGCCCCAGTATGGAGCTCCTGCTCCTCAGCCGAAACCTCAGCCTAAACCTCAGTATGTAGCCCCTGCTCCTCAACCTAAGCCCCAGTATGGAGGTCCGCCTCCTGCTCCTGCTCCTAAGCCCCAGCCCCAGTATGGAGCTCCTGCTCCTGAGCAGAAGCCCCAGCCTCAGTATGACTCTCCTAAACCTCAGCCTAAGCCTCAGCCCCAGTATGGAGCCCCTGCTCCCGAGCCAGAACCTAAGTCCCAGTACAATGCCCCAGCGCCCCAGCAGTACAGTGCCCCTGCGCCTGCGCCTGCTCCTGCCCCAGCGCCCCAGCAGTATAACGCTCCTGCCCCAGCCCCTGCCCCTCAACAATACAGTGCCCCTGCCCCTTCACCCGCTCCTCAACAGTACAACGCTCCTGCCCCAGCCCCTGCCCCAGCGCCACAGCAGTATAACGCTCCTGCCCCTGCGCCCGCGCCCCAGCAGTATAATGCCCCTGCCCCCGCCCCTGCCCCCCAGCAGTACACTCCCTCTGCTCCCTCCCCTGAGCCCCAACAATACAATGAGCCCGCCCCTGAGCCCACTCCTCAACAATACAACGCTCCTGCCCCTGCCCCTGCCCCGCAACAATACAACGCCCCTGCCCCTGCCCCCGCCCCTGCGCCCGCGCCCCAGCAGTATAGTCCACCTGCTCCCGCTCCCATGCCAAGCCAGAGTTACGGACAGCCGGCATCGCAGCCATCATACCAGTCACAGCAGCAGGAGGGTAAAGGTTCGTAAACATCAGGAGTTTGCCGTCAAACTCTAATAAAATGACGAGGATTCATATCTAGAGACTATAACTTGCATGCCTCTAAAATATATGAAATTGGTAGCGAAGTCGTCAATTAATTTTCATCCTGAATTGCAGCTTATGTTCATGGATCATCTATAATTTTTTAACAAGTATTTATAATGATCACGCATAATCATTTCTACAACATTGCGTGGGGTAACACCATGGATATTGTGGCATAAACTCGTCCGTGATATTTCCTCATACGGTTATCTATGACATTTTTTTCAGGTAACGACGAGGCATCATCAGAATACGGCCCGAAGTACCGCGACCCCGGCCAGGGCGAGCCCGGCCAGGGAGGCTTCATCATGCCCTGGGACGTGCCGCAGCCCATCCAGACAGCACTCAAGAGCGGTCTGAAACCAGGCTGGTGAGCGAGGTCACCGCCGTGGCAGCACGGGTTTGTGTCATCGGTGGTGTGAGAAATGTTCAATAGATGGCGCTGCAAGAATGGGCGGTTGGAATATCAATGTAAACTGTTGGGTGGAGTGATTGCTAAGCATGATGTGATCAGTGGCTACATGAATCACATGTGCGCTGCTGTATTGTGAGCGATTTGAATATGCGTTTGAATGTAGCGACTGCTTATTCGGAAAATGCTCTAACTGAAGTGAAATGTGAATGGAACGACAGATTTTCAGTTGCTTTATTATTGGCGATAAGGAAGAAATTATGGAGAGAAAATGTTTTTCGTAGAAGCTTAGAGAATGCTAAGGAACAATCGAATGTTACATTTCACTTCCTTGTACCCCAGGGTTCGAGTCCTGTTTGTATCATTAGTAAGTGTGTTTGTGTCACATCAAGTATTCGTAGTGAGTAATCCTATTTATGGCATCGTCTTTCATATGGCGGTAGTGGTCGAAGTTATTCGAAACATCTGACGAAATACACAAAACATCATGTCAAACGTCGTGGTTTGTTATGATTCCCGTTGCTTTCTAAAATATCAAAACTGCTGTAAAACATGGTTCTCGATCTCGACATTTGAAGTTCGTATTTCGGTCATCAATGCTAAGAAATAATGAATACTGCCAAAGTTGATTTAAGAGTTAGGTTTTAACCTTGGCGCTAAGCTCTTGGAACTGTCCTAACACTCCTTCTTTTTGGTAACGCTGAACATTTTTCCAAGCTGCGGATTTCTGAGTTTAGGAGCAATTTAAAGTAAACGTTTTTAATAAATTCCTTTATCCATAAAGAACCTGTTTCCATCACACGCGTAAGAAAATTCAAATACCTTCGGACTTTTACATTTTTGTGTGTGTGGATAAACAATTTTGATTTCACCCTCTCACATATTCAATGCTGCACATGGTCAACTTTCTGTTCATTAGTCGTTTTTCTTCTACAAAACAGTGTATTTCTCTTTCTCGGCACAACAGCGGCAACCACGACCTGCGTGTCACGTGCCGCAATATTCTACTTTTCGACACAAACTATGCACTACGCACTACACACAATGCACTACGCACTACACAAAGCACACATCAGTATACCTACAGGGTGTCTCAAAAGTTCGTTCACAGGTACCAGCCATGCTTTTTTGTCAATAATTCTTAATCAACATGAAATTAACAGTCGAAAGTTTGCATGGGCATTGGTGACAACCTTCCTCAAGCAGTCTCATTGTTTTCAAGTGCATTCGACCCTTCATGAGCTCACAAAAAGGGTTCACCTCTGACCATGGGTCAGGCACGAAAATGTAGGTTGCAAAGTCGGGTATGCTGTGAAACTCTCTGTTTCAGGAGTAATGGGAATGGTTAAGTCGGAAATGACACATGGCTAAGTGTCGGCGAGGATGAGTGCAACATGATGATCATCTCATAAAAACGGAAGCTAAAATTTTTGAAGGACGAAACCATGCGAGACTAAGGGCGTTTTGAACGACCCTCGCACGACAGCAGACTCGTGTTCCGGAAAGCAGCTGAAAATGCGGTCATAACTATTGAAAACTGGCAAGAAGGTCACAGACAGAGGTTACCCATTTTCAAAAAGTGCAGGTCATCGTAAAATAAAGACAAATTATAATTTAAAATTGTTTATAATATCTATAACGATAATTTTGGGGGACAATAACACAAAAATCGTCAATGCCAAGGACACCTGACCCTCCAAAAGTGTCAGTTATTGTAAAATTTTATCTAACGAAGTTTCAAGAGGCAGGTCTGCAGCGAATAATTTTCTTTTAAACACAAAATCCCGATAAAACCACACGATGGACAGGTTTGGGCCGTTTACAAAGCAGAACATCTCCCGAGGAAAACATTCCGCAACCGAGCGAAGGTCTTGGCATGGGGAATGACGAGCGCTTGGAATTTGCCAAATTTGCACAATGTGTCTGAGAAACAGACGTCCGACACGTTCTGCTACCATATGATGCGAAAAATTTACTCCTGGCACTTCCCGTTTGTTCAGGACTGGGGTCGTTTTGAAAAGGAAAATGGCGCTTGGGATGTCGGCGCCAGTCATTCATGAAGGAGTTAGCGCCAGAGAATGCCTACAAAATACTCAAGAATGGTGTCGATGCAAGCTGTCGGCTTTCAGGGAAAATCAGATGTTGCCGGGGAGCTAGTCAAAACTAAATCCGACGCAGAAACTGCAGGTGATTCCCCTGCAAGAGCTTGAAAGCTGGTAACCTTTTATCAGCCTCCGGCAGCTGACGGAGCAACAAAAATCGGTATGGGCAAATATTTTTGGAGATACAGCAAAGGGGTTGGTTTCCAACCTTCTTAATCAGTTGTCAAAGCATGCATATTTGTCTAGTGTACACACAGACACCAAAACCTTATACTTTTGGCTGGTTCTTATATGCTTTATTGGCATGGGAAATGTGTGGACGAACTTTTGAGACACCCTGTATGACACGAATTCGCAAGGATGTGCTATTCATCGCTTCACGTGACATTCTGAAGCAATTATTTGCACGCTTTGGACCAGACAGAGATTTGGCGAGTTTGAGAGGTGCCGGGGTGAAGCTGAGTATCTTTGCAAGTTTCAAGTTGATGGCAAATCCTTACGATATGTTGTCGCACGTAATCGGATGTTCAGGCGAAGAGGAAAGTTTGTGCTTGACGTTGTTTGCTAGAATTGCTTTTTCTTGTAGTATACGGACATCATTTAATGATCATGTTCACGTGTTAAATGTTTGTCTACCTCCCCGTGTAATCAATTTTCTCTCTTCCCGATGCGAATTCATTCAGATAATGTCACGGCTGCCTTTCACCAAGCGATAACATAAACTGGGACTATGGCCCCGTCGCTATTTAGCTATTACTTTTATACACGTATTTTCGCGACACATATTGCTTTCTTCAACACCGAGTACAGTACACTGACATAGCTACACCGGCTCTCGCGAGACAGCCGGGATAAACTTCCGACTATCAAATACATAACACCGCGACAGTACCAAGCAAATAAAATACCCTACAATCATCCAGTATGATACACAACAAAACATAACAACACAGCACCATTTTGTGCTCAGTCGCCTAACACCAACATTTGCGTAACTGTACAGCCAAGCGCAATTGCAACGTAATCCGACATTGCGTACGTTTTTCTGACGGGACCAGGAATAGAGCCCTGAACAGGTAACATCAAAACAGCGAGCTAGCGTGGCTAGCTGACTGTCCGACACAACGACCAATCAGGAGCGAGATACCCTGCCAACGTAAGCAGCTAGAGAACACTGTCACCATCGGCCCTGGCGAATCCCGATGAGACGTGTTCTAACAGCGCTGCGCACGGCTGCTCACGCAGCACACAGACGGCCTGAGCACCAATCAGATCAACGAACGCTGCGTACTGATCTATAACAATGCGTTTGACGACAGCTAGTGAACAGCCAACACGAACGCTGATATGTTTACTGGGGCGGAATCGTAGCCTAAACGACTGGAGGATGATAACATTTGATCAATAACTGTGATCGACCAATAATACGATGCTTTATGTCGTACATCGATAATTATACAACAATTACAGTGTATGCAACGTATAAATAAGAACGAACAGATGATATGTTCTCAAGGCATCGGAACGATTGGTAAACGATTCTCAATTTAGCAACAGCTTTATCTAAACAGCAATAGCTTGGTACAACACCTTTTACACAGGTCATCTAACGTTAATTGTGCATTTATATATGTTTCTTTCCGGTGGCGTGGCACTTTTGCTCGCATTAGACAATGCGCTTGACTCATTTATGAGAACTTCTTTTTTGAAACAGGTGGTCCGATGTTCTGAAGGTCCTTTACCAGTCAAGAAATAAAAATGTTTAAAAAAAATTGATGTAGGAGTATTTACTCCTTAGAATGAAAACTTTTGAGAATTCTTACTGATGACTAATAACTGAATCGATACCTTTTCGAAAACACGGCTTCTTACTGTTTGCAGCTAATGCCTTCTGCTCCTTTTGTAGCTGCAAGACTGTGTCCTGCTGACTATCTCCGAGTTTTAGATTGCTACGGTCAAATCAATTAGCGGTGAATCCCAAGGGTATCCGCCTGAAGAGACCTCACAACGACAGCTGATCCATCAACTGGTTGTGAGAGCCCTGCGAGGTAGCTAAATAAAAGGAACATTCAGATCCACTTATGTAGAGCCAAAGCTACACCGACGTAGGGTAAGCTTAGGTACACAGTAGCTTTTTGCTCAGAAGAAGAGTCCATGTTACGCTCGTAGACTTTTCGCCTGTCTTCATCGTACTGGGCTCGCTTTGCTCGCTGGACGCCTTACTGACAACTAGACTGTGCGCTGAGTCGCCTAGTTATCTCAATAAGGATCTGACGTACGGTTCTCCAGGGTATTAGTCGTTGGTCGTTCGGCGGGCGGGAGGGCAACCAGTTCCGCCCCTGTATCGCGTGACCCCTTGCTCCGCCCAGTTACGCACGAGCGTACTCCACGCCGCGTAGTAGCGTGGGGAGGGGAGGGTTAGAATGGTGGCATGTGTAGAGGCTAGAACCGGTTTCCACCGCCATGCCACCGCCCAGCGACATGGAGCGGGGTCAGTGACCAGGGCGCAGGGAAAGGTCAGAGGTCAGCTATAACGTAGAGCTTTGTGCCTCCCTCCCCTCCGCGTGTAACGATCGCACGACAGCGGCCGGTCGCCAATCAGGCTTGACATGTCAAGGTCACCCGCAGTCAACGGGCTCAGAGGGTTGGTCGAGTGCGCGTCCGTGGCTGACGAGCAGTCTCGACCAAACCATGTGCTATGGTGCCGATAGACTAGCGTGCGTAATAAGTTTTTGTTCAGTGCATATGGCTGCTGGGGTGTGTCATCTTGATATGATGCTTTGTAACGTGTATGATACGCTTAAAACCTCGCTGGCAGTGGCCGAGAGGGGGGGAGGCGGGTGCGGGGTGGCGGGTGCCGCCTTCACGTTTTTTTTTTTATTGATAGCTGCGAGAGCTGAAATTTGGCAAGCCTGGCCTTTGATTCAAGCTGAATTTTTATGACAGCAGCTGTATTTTCATCCTCGCCCATATTGGTGTTTTGCCAGCGTCTATCGTAAAGGGGGGAGGAGGGTCCGTTGGACCCCTTTGCCGTTCAACCCCCGATCGAGCTAGAGCTTCGCGGAAAAAGAGCGTGTTGCCCGTGACGAGAGGAGGCCGATGATACCCAATTTTTAAGGTCCTAGGTCATTGGTTGACAGGTCAAAAGTCTAAGTTGACAAAGTTGTCAAAGTTGACAGGTCAAACTCAAAAGTCGGGGAATCGGGACCTGTTAGAGCTTCGTAAAGTGAAGCTGTTATAGGGTTTTGCGGGGTGCTGATCACGAATTTCAAGTTAGTTTTGATCACAGATGATGTTTTCTCGCATTTAGGCCAGGTCAGGTCAGGTGAGGTCACATGTTACGAGGGAACCAAAACTACTTCTTAAATGTTCAACGGTTTCTAAATGCGAAATCAACTCCAAAATCTACCCTAGAAACAAGTAGAACTCGAAAGAGTGAACAAAGGTCATCAAAGGTCAGTGACCTGACTGACCTTCACGTGACCTTGATACCCACTTAGAATCCATGGGATTAACATCCTTTCACATGTTCGATCGCTTAAAGCCACAAAACGACAATAAAACGCGCTCTACTCGAAATACGCAAAAACGCGATTCCGGCCAAACATGGTCTCGGAAAACAGGTCACAAGTCAAAGGTCTTTTGGGTCAGGGTCATATAAATTATAGGGCAGGCGTAATATTGATTAACTCGAGGGTACTGAAAGTTTCGTCGCAATCAGCCGCTTTTTGCGCGAGTTATTTGCGAAAAACTGAGGGTAGGAGGTCTGTTCGACACCCTCCTACAAGTGCGAAGGTTAAGGTCAGGCCGTTGACCAATTACGTCAAAAGTGAACCTCTGTAAGATCCCAAAATGTCGCGACGTCGCAGCACCCTTCGTGCCAGGGGACTTCTCAACGGGGAATGAAGCTTATATGTATGATCTAGTACTATCTCCCAGAGGCCTCACAACTTGTATGTAGCTATCTCGTATTTTTAGAGTCACCTGAAGTCAGGTCGGTCACGCAACCCCACGATTATTAATCAATTGGGAAATATGAAAGCTGTTATTTTGGCGCCGCGAGCCATCTAAAGCTGTCTCAAGCGCATTAATTCGCGATTTTATACAATCTTTGCAAGCCCCAGCATTCACTTTTCCATTCTCAAAGTTAGGGGACTTCATTTATGACGTCACTAAGGTCACAGGAGCTTTCACGAAAAAGTCCCGATCAAATTGAGCTAGCAAGTCGTGAAGCCATCAGTGGACTTGTGAGGACCTACCGAATCGAAGAAGCGATATGACCTCCTTGAGCCAGCCTCGTGGCCTGAGTGGCTCTGCCCTGATATGACCTGAGGTGAACACCTTAAATTGACCTCAACAAAAACAAAGCGTATACTATTCGACGCGCTTGAGCATGCAAAACTCGATGGTGCCATTGTCTTGGCTCTGTAACCACTTATGGTAAAGTTGTTTACCAAAAACCGATGCCGCGACTTGGCCAGCACTTATACTGACCTCAGAGTTTATCGGTTGACCTGAGACATTCAAGTCGGGTACCAGTTGCTGCATCTCATACGACGCACGCGCTCAGTTTTATCTGCAAGGCGCTAGCTGAATTAGGGGCAAAAAGACGGAGAGGGGTCGTAATCGCCCCCCCCCCGGCCGGGGTATATGCAGAAAACCCAAAATTCCGTTGAGGGTTAAGCACTGAAGTGATATATTATGATGCGAGAAGGTATAGGTCAAAAAAGGTATGCACACAGACACAAGGGGATGTGAATAAAACTGTGTTGGATGTATGCCTTTTTTATTATACATTCGATTTGCTTTAGTTATTGGTAAGAACAGATACAACCAAGAAGAGCGCCCCTGAAGAAAAGGTGGCGCACCGGACGGGTGCGATTTTAAGGTCTAAGGTCAGTCGGGGACCTCTAAGCTCGGATCAAGCGCTGCATGTTAGGGGTAAAAAAATGGGGGCAAAAAAGCATCCCGATTTTGACACCATCGTCATGCTTTGTCACGGCACTCTGACTCATCCACTCCCTCGGCCGAAATATTATTTTCTTTTTGTATGAGTTCTGGCATAATCCCGCACATTATGCTCCATGTTGTTTGCCATGAAAAAAACAATGCATGTTCAGCTACGTTCTACGCAGTACGCACTAACCTAACCACCATCCCATCATCCACCACTAGCCACCATCCCGTTCTGTGCTCCCTTCCACCCCACACGAATCAGCCGAGATACTAGTCAGTCGGGCTAGCGCTATCCTATCCTCCCTTCCTGGCTTCACAGCGCTAAAACCCAGAGCCGAGACTTCCCGAGCGCGACCTCTGACCCCACGCGGTCCGAAGGGTCGGCCGATGCCTGAGGGCGCGCCGCGCGCCGGCCACCCGGATAGCCTCTGCTGAGTCTCCCTTTCATACACCGTTTACTACGCACTCGATTCATTCATGATTCTGTGTTTCCGCGTTCCTCTCGTTAGATGGCTCTACTGATGTCATAGGCGATCCCAGGAAGATTGCGGCCAGAATACCCCAAACGGCAGAAAATGAGGTTTTTGGTGAATATCTCGGAAAGTATTTGGCATACAACGATGCAAATTCTCAGTCTCGTGGTAAATGTGCATACACATAATTCGGGTTGATAGTTATGCATTTGAACATTACATAGGACCAGATATGTCCGAAAAAGCAAAACCAACAAGACTTTTACTGGAGAACCGTACGTTGGAGCCGCGTCTTGAGGCCGCCTGATTATCTGCATGTCTCACTAGGTTAAACAAATGTAATATAGGACCTCTCCTCGTCATTTTGGTGGAATAAAATGACTCGTAATGCTTCCTCTCCAGCTTACAGGCTCGTCTGACCGATCTTCCCCTCTTTCGACCCATTCGCCGTGATGATGTTTGCTTTTCTGGCGCTGGACATGCTTCCTTCTCTAACCGGCCCTCCTGCTGCGGCGCTGGAGACACTTCCTCTTCCTCCAGCTCCCTTGCTGCCCTCTCCTCCTCCCGACTGGCTGGTGCTGGTCGTTCTTTTGCGGGTCTTGTGCGCAGCGCGCGGAGGGGCATCCTCGTCATCGGAGTCGGAGAGTGTGAGCGCCGGGTTGACCCTGCCGTTCATCTCATTGATCTCCTCGGTGGCGGCGTACTTCTGGACGGCGGCGGAGTTCATTACCGTCAGCTCGCCTGGTAACGGAGCGGGGAGGATGATCAGGAAACAAAGCGCGTGGTTATTCGTCACTTTTAAGCAAAACTGCCCGGTGTCGCGAAGGACAAACCACCAGACAACACATTTGGACTGGAGAATCCGTAAATGTTTTCTATACTACGCTAATTTTATTACGCTACATCACATTTCGATGAGCTCTGTCAGTGTTAAAAGTATACGACAAATTCAAAATTGATGACAACGGAAAGTTTCCTCCGCTAAGGTGCTGATCGCGTGGCGCGTCATAGGAATAGAAATACGTTTCTGATGGGACATAGTTTTGAATGGGGTCGAGCACGACCATAATAGAACACCCATTCTCAGTATAATTGAGACCGTTCCAGGAAGCCAATTGGCTCCTGAAGCTCGGATAGATGGTCGAAGTTGGGGTAGTTCCATATTGAATTTCGTTGCCGGTCATATTTTTCGAGGCAGTTTTAGATAACGACTTGCTGGATTATTGATATAGCCAGAATGATCGTCGATCTAAGTGATATATCGTCGCACGCAAGAGTATGTAGTTGAGAGTCTTCTACGATTTGTCGAGCTCAATATCGACGAGCTGGCAATGAACTACACTGATGCAACTTCAGCTAACTCCAATCATAGCATGTTTTGCATTCGAAGGCAGTGAACTAACATTTCAGCGTTCAGCAAAGTGGGCGTTGGGAGCTCGTCAACAGTGGCCATAATTTTCCTCCCAGCAAAACTCCGTGGGTCGTCTTTGGAATTCTGGAAATCTCCGAACCAAGTTAGGAGATAACTCTCAAATGTCGCTGACCGTGCTTCTCCGGCGCCCGCCGCAAAGGAAGTGCTGAACTTGCCGGAGCTAACGCCTACCTTCTGGTGGTGTGGGGAACTTCTGGACGTCATCGGGAACGTTGACGACACACTTGAAGACGTCCCACTTCGGCGCCAGAATGTGTGACTCGAACAGATATCTGTGGGAGGGACAGGAAGTTAGTCTAGTCGTAGAGCCATGTCTCGCAATGCCGATGGCTTTATTTGGCTGTTTCGCAGCGAATATAAAAATATCAAGGGGTTTTGTTATTTGCTTTTTGATATGTGAGTTAGCCTAAATAGTTATTTAACGAACAAACGGTAACTTCCACATGATTTTGTGCTCATGTGAATGTAATGTGTCGTATTCAAATGTCAAACCTGTTAGAAAACTTGATAAATGAAAAATGTTTGCTTTGTTTGACAGTACTAGAAACTTATGGAATTATTCAGACAAAATATCCAGAGTTTCGTACCGTTTCCCAAACTCAACACAACTGCGATGTTTGTGTCATTCGGTGAAACTATGGTAACGATATCGTTAACTTTCTGGTGCTTAGTATGTAAGTCCCTCCATTTGCATTTTAAGCGGACAGCAGAGCCTCTTTATCCATTGATAACAACTTTGGCGAAATGCTGTACGCAAAATAGGGCTCCCTGTTATAAATCGGCCAACGATTTTCTACAGATTCTGGGCAACGTTGGTTCTTTCCGTTCTTAAAAGGTTCGCGGACGAAAACAGCAGTGACGATACACAAACAACCGGTCAACTCAGCTCAAGCTCGGGTCCGTCTAAAAAACTATTGAGCCCCTACTTTCCTGCCGAGCCAGCAAACAGTATGATCCTTTGGTAAATGTTGGCTCTGGGTAAACATTGGAAGAAGATAAAACCAAAAGTGGAGATAGTAAATCAATATTAGAGGTTTGTCCTGGGGAAGTGTTCTTTTTCAGTGTAGCGAGCCATTAATTTTGCTGGATCTGCTGATTGAAACTCTTTGGTAGGTAGGCACTAATGAGGAGATCAAATGATTTGAATAAGATAATAAGCAATGAATATTAATGAGCTGTGATGTTTAACATGTGCTGCTGGATCGATAATTCAAATGTCTTTGAAATATCCTGCGTTACATTTGTCTACAATAAAACAATATCTGGGTTTATGTCTTATTGTCGCATACAGTCACCTTCGAAAAATGTTGAAGCATTTTCGGCATGAAAATGATCTTCGTTTGTTTTTTTTTATGTGAAATTGTAAAATTTACGTGAACAGAGGATAAATCTAAAGTAACCATAGTGCTAAGAAACTGAAGATTAACCTCCAATAACACCACTGACATTTCCATTACGGCGTCGGCATCCCATTCCTCCAGTGACGTCATCAACACTTACTTGGTGAATCGAGAGACGACGATGACGGTAATGCCGCACATGACCATGGCCAGTGTTCTGAACGGGAACATTTGCTCCTTGGTCTCGTAATTATACCCTAAAACACAGAGAATCGTCAGGCGACGTCCGTAACAATCATGGAGCTTGATTCATTTTACAATAAAATGGATTAATTACGACGGTGTGTAAAAACGTCAGTTTTACCAAGTGCCCTTGTCCAGCGATTCTTCAGTCAGGAAGCGTGAATTTTAAAACTCGCAAGTTCGAATGCATGGCTTAAAAGCCCTATGCATAACAATTCTGTTATAGTCACAATTTGAGGAATACAAATTAAAAAGTGAAGTAAAATTAAGAATACCAATTCAATCTATCGGTTCTGCTATTACTAGCTATGTTTAAACATTACACATAAAGTTACCAGCCAACATTCATTGCAAAACCAGATACATAATGAGCCTTAATGCCTGAAGCAGACTTTTCCGCAGTCAGGAAATCGCATGCGAGAGCCTATTCAAATACATGGAAGCACACTCGCATCAATCGCACGCACCTCCCGGATGCGATTGATGCAGGAAGAATTATAATGTATTTGAATAGGCTCTCGCATGCGATTTCCATGCGAGAGATTCCATGGTTCCATGGAATCTCTCCATGGTGCGCGTTCGCCATTCCGTGGTGCGCGTTCGCATGCGAACGCGCACCATCCCCAGTCCGCCGCCGCCACGGGGTCTCCGGGGGAGGCCGCCACCTGGGCCGACCGACTCAACAGGCACTTCGCCACCGTGGGGTCCCGAATCGCCGACGAGTTGCGAGGGGCCGCGACTGGGGAGCGGCACAGCCAGCGCCCACCCACCGTCTGCTCGTCTCGCTTTCGGCTCCAGCCGGCGACGCTGCCGGAACTGTCGCGCTGCATTCGGGGCATGAGCGCGTCTAGAGCGGTGGGGCTTGACGGTGTGCCTCTCTTTGCGGTGCGGCGCTGTTTCCCTGTTGTTGGCCCCCACCTGCTGCGCCTTGTGAATTTATCGATTGTGACTGGTGTGTTCCCCGAGTGCTGGAAGTCAGCTTGTGTCGTACCGATCCCAAAGTCAGGTGATCTTACTCAACCATCCAACCATAGGCCTATCTCACTTTTAAGCGTGCTGTCGAAGATTTTAGAAAAAGTAGTATGTGCTCAACTCACCAACTATGTAGAAACTCATCACTTACTATGCCCATCTCAGTATGCTTACCGCTCACATCACTCCACCGAGGACGCCGTGATCGAGGCTGTCGAGCGCCTGGTTCGCAATACCGACCGCGGCCTGGTATCGTCGGTAACGGCGATTGATCTCTCAAAGGCGTTCGACAGCGTCGATCACGACGTCCTCCTCACCAAGCTACAATGGTACGGGATATGCAACGTCGGCTGGTTCTCCAGCTATTTGAGCGGGCGGAGCCAGATTGTTAGGGGTGGCGAGGTAACCCTACCTGTGACGTGCGGCGTGCCCCAGGGCTCGATCATCAGTCCAATCCTCTTCATTTTGTTCACTTCGGACCTTCCGGCGCATCTGACCCATGGCCACCTCATCTCATACGCGGACGACACTCTCCACATAGACTGTTCCTCCCCTGACGGACCGGGTCTGGCCGAGCTCCGAGCTAGGCTGGAGCTCACCATGCGCGAGCTCCATGCCTGGTTCGGAGTAAACTCCTTGAAAATGAACAGCAGCAAAACTGACTTCATGATAGTTGGCAGCAAACATAACGTAGCAAAAACACAAAACTTCTGTTTCGTTGTAGAAAACTCTACAATTCTACCTTCTAAAGCAGTCAAAATCCTCGACGTCACTACAGATGCCGTTCTGTCATGGGAGGAGCACATATGTATCTTGTGTCGTCCGAAAGTGCAACAAAATTCTCTTTTCTCTATACAGGTTCAGGCATTACTTCACTAGTCAAGTTCTCAAAACCATCATTCAGGCCTATGTTTTCCCACATATCACTTACTGTCTGTGCGTCTGGGGTGGGGCGGCCAGGGGGCAGATGCACAAGCTTCAAAAAGTTATCAATTTTTCGGCCAGGATTGTGGGAGGGATAAAGAAACACGAACACATTACACCGACTCTAAATTATCTTGATTGGCCGAGGATCGAGACCCTGGTGGCGCGCCGGGACGTCGCAAAGGTGTGGGGGTTGCTGCGGACGGACGGCGCGACCTCCAGCGTGCGGGAGCTCCTGGTGCCCCGCAGTGCTGTGTCGACCCGGGACACCCGCGGATCGGAGGACGGCGACCTGCACCTGCAGCGCTGCAGGCTGGCCTCGAGCCAGAAGGCCTTTACTTACCGTGCGGCGGTCGCTTAGAATGGTCTGCCGCGCGCCGCCCGCGACGCGCCGACCTACCGTGCTTTCAAACGGACGCCATTTAATTGCGTCCCAGAAAAGCTATTTCTGGCACCTAAAAGCTGACTCGCCCCAAAATTGGTCCTCAGCACCTATTTGGTGGATACCATCACCAATCATGGAAAATGACCTTAATTAGCTGTTTCTGGCACCTATTCATCGGTACGCCTTACTTTTTTCTGAATCTGGCACCTAAATGCTGAGCGTAGCACCAATCTAGTAGAAAAATGAACTACTGGCTGGTAGAATCATGTTGTTCTGGTATAATGACCCCTGGAGTCTAGCCTAAAGGTTGCCAGTGCAGCTACACTCTAAGACAGCCCCGTAGTGATCTCAGCATTGTATATGACGTTTAAGTAAGCAAATAATATTGATTTGTTCGAAAAAAACAATGTCATTTAAATATTTCAAAGTATTTATTTGTAATGCTTAAAGGGAAACATTTTTGTGAGTAATTGTCTCGATTTTCACCATTAAAACGGGTATTGCATTTTTTGACGTCATCAAATAGCTCCAAAAAAGAAATGTAATGTTTTCATTCCGTTCAAGGCCGCTGAAGAAACGCGAGATCTTGCGTGGGACATTGTCCGTTGTTTGCCGCGCAGAATTGTGCCGTGGTTGTGCCTTTTTCATCCGTTTCTTACTTATGTGTGCATGAAGCTTTGATTTTGTTTTTGGTTATTGTGTGGCCGGTCAGTCAAACGCCCCTGTAGAAACCGGATGCTGCGTTTGATCGAGATGGAGTCAGACGATGATTGCAGAAAGCTATTGAAAAGAGGGCCGGTTGCGTGGCATGTCTGTTCAGAGTTGACATTTTGCTTTACTCCAGTTTATGACCTGAGAGCCTGGCTGGAAGTGACGGATCCAAACTTTTCACGTTAAAATGGCTGAGGGTGCAATAATCTCTACATAGCGGGCTGGTATAGGAGCGTCTTGCTATGCTGCACCATAGCTGGCTAGTGATTCTCTTTTGGCTAGAAATGGCATTAATCATTATCTCCACTGGCGAAAATGGCACTTGACATCACCGAATGCAACGTTCATGTTTGTTAGGATACATAAAATCAGGAAGATTACGCGAATTAGGTAGGCAAACGTGGAATAAAATAGGTGCTGGATGTTTTGGTTTTGGTGCTGAATCAGCAAACAGCAAATACGGAGTTCAACTAGACGATCTGGCAACTTTAGGCTGTGTGGAAGCAATTAGGTGCCAGATTCAGATATTAGGGTCGAGTAAGCATTTTGGGGCTGATCAGCAATTAGGTGCCAGAAACAGCTTTTTAGGGACCAGAAACAAATATTCCCCCTTTCAAACTGGCAGTAAGGGAATGCATCACCTAGTCATGTGCTCACGCTTAGCTCATCCCACTTTTCTTATCATGTTTTTATCGCAGTATATGTTTTATCGTGTGTAATGTGGCATTATGTGTATGTACAACTTGTCGATATTTTAGCGTCACTTTGCTTTTACAACATGAATGACGGGAGACTTGAATAGCCACGGTGTGGATGGTCTCAACAATACACGAAATGAATTTCCTGAACGCGGAAAGAGTCTGTTTCAGCCATTAGAATCAGAAATCGATCATCACATCATTACCAGCCCAATACCAAATAGGACCCATCGCTCACCCACCTGGGTAGAGTATCAGCGGCGGTATTTTCATCACGTCCTCGCCTCCGGAGAGGCGCACCATCAGGCCGACAATGTAGCCGGCCAGCGAGCCGTACGTGTTACAGTGGTGCTTGAAGTGGACCACCATGCACAGTTGCGGGAACAGGATACAGTACACCAGATCAGAAGAGAGACCCCTGTGAAAAAGAAGAAGAAAATATTGTAAAGCCTTCCTTTCTAGCGTCAACAAAGGTATCTTACCGGAATTTTACGGAATACGATGCATACCGTTGTGATCGGTATTTCATTTACCGACACAAGTAGTCACGAAGTTGATTAATGCGATTTGCTCTATTATGGCACTATGACGGCTTCGGAAATTATGCCATCAGTTTTATTGCTGTAATGACCACGGCACATGATTTACAAGCGGTTCTATTTAATATTTATACCTTCAATAGTTAGTGCTATTATCACGTTTCTGATGATTGATAATGCGTATCGGTCACGATGTAACTCAATGATTTTTGATGACGCTAACTGAACCGGAAAACTCCTACGCTGCATCTCGCCATTAATTGCTTCTATTTGCGTTACTCTGTAAATGAATGGCCAATTAAACAAATTGAGTTACCGACAACTTCCGGCGAAGTCGCTCTTATTAAATCCCGTGTGCAGAGGAGGGTGTTGACAAAAAGACCGCATAATGGAATAAATTGAATGCGTCTATGCCTTTTTCAGACGGCTGTTGATCGAAAATATTAGCGTCTTTTAATCATTTTAAACATCGAAACGAAATCACTTTTGGGTCACAATCAATCACCATTAATTCATGTGAAATCGAATAGTTTTGTACCCGGTGTTTACTTTCAAACGCTCTATTGTTGTATACGTTTACGTACCAAAGTCCGTAAATGGTTGGTATGGTGAGTGCCATTACTGTCGACAGTGCTCCTGTTATGAAGATACCGACTCGCATCACCCAGATAATCTCCGTCTCTGAGGCCTGAAATCACCAAAAAAAATACTGTCTTAGCCACCAATTACGGCAAAACACACAAGCAGGTAAATGGCTAAAATATAACACGGATGACGGAACTGACAGAAATGGAAGGGTCGACGACAGAAATGACAGAAATACATGTATCAGGGTGGATGATTTACAATTTTGCAGGATGCGTGCTGATAATGGCGTCTCTAAAGGTTTCAGGATAAAATGGACAGGAAAGTAGTATAATAAACATCTGTTCAAATGGATAGGAAAATAGTATAATATATTCTATTCAAATGGACAGGGAAAATAGGATAATATACTCTCTTCAAATGGATAGGAATCACGCGACGGATGGTACACCGAGAAATATAGATGCCAAACAACTATCGGGGAGATATTCGAAACAACAAAGTCCTCGCCAGATTACTTCTTAGATTTCTCTGACGGGACGAATGAGGAGCGCGTCTAGAGTTGTTTACGCTGCTAGTTTGGTCAAGAGGTCGTGAAAACACTCGCTCGTTCTACGTCGAATAGTTTTACAAAACAGCAGTGATTTAAAGCGTGAGAGTTGTAGCAGAACTAAACAAAGCCATAAAGTTGTGATTGGCATGCCCTTGCAGGAAATCTGCATTTTCAAACACACAAGTCTAATCTCAATTTTCTTCCATGCCTTCGCAAACTTTCTATTCGCATAACATTCAAAGATCATTTTTACACTAGAAATGTGTCACCTGATACCGATATCGCGCACAATATCTCTAAATTTCTCTTTAGAACGCCTCGCGGCTTTCGCTGCCGTTCCCCGCGAAGATACACGAGCGGCTGCGGATATTCAAACCGCCCTCGTATCGACACCTCAGCCTATCGCGCGTCGAATACGAAAGCGAAAACACGCAGCAACGCAGCCGATAATCGTTTGGTGGGCGTCGAAAACACGCGCATGTTGCTGGGAATGCCACGCTGCTGTGAGAGCACTTAGCGGTGGTGGCACAATGTGTTCTGCTGATCTCAGCCCGCTCTGGTCAATGGCATGGGGACAGATTGGATTGGCCAGCACCAATCAGAGAGCTTTGTCAGCCAGCTGTAATTGGGCCAGCTGGCGACGCTCCGAGACGAACAGGAGGGGGGGGGGGGGGGGGGAGTGTGAGGTCGAGGTGGAGAAAAGGTGGGAGAACCACCGTGGATCTTTTGGGTAATGGGTCGGTAGCAATGTTGGGCAGTAGGTAAGTATTGAACGACCAATTAGAGGAAGATATAAACAAAAGAGGGTAATAGCTATCACGCATACATACACTGCATAAGAACCTTGCATGTGAAGTATGTGCGACTGGCGGCATGGCCAAAGCAAGAA